GGGGGGTCAGTAGTGCTGAATGCTACATGTGACATGGCCTCCTTCATCTGCTCATATATAAGCTGCGCATGTTGTTGAAATTACAATGTATTTTCGTTGTGTGTCATAGGGCAGTAAAAGACAATGATGCCTTCAGTCGAATGAAACAAGTATTAAGATGGTATCTCTCAGGATTTTATAAAAAACCAAAGGTAAGCTATAGAAACCAGCTTGCAATTCCTATTTTACTAGCACAGAGAAACCTGCCTAAACCAAACTCCAAACGGACAATGTAACAATTCAGCAGGGACTAAACAGCTTACATAAATGCCGACAGTTTATTTTTTTTTTACTTACCGGTAAATTGTTGACGTTTGCCAAAAAAACATTACTCATGTAGCCCCTGACACACCCCCTTCTCCCTAAAAGTGATGTACTTTGACCTAGACTGCGTGTGCTTAATATTTCAGAGTTCATAGTTCATTTTTTACATTAAAATGTTAACAACAAGTAAACACTAACACCTTTTTCTCTGCCTGACCAAATTATTGAAATGTTTGATGCACCAAGCTTTAAAACTTTTTAGTAAATTGTCAAACACTTCATTCAAAAGCATCAACATATTTTCTTTGTTATCAAGAATACAATCAAGGAAATCAAATTGTGTCACATACATGAAATACTTTTTACCCCCTGCCCCCACTTTTTGAATTTTGAAAAAAAGATATCCCTTTAATAGATAAATACCACTGATTATAACAGTATGTATTTTTCTTTCTAGGGTGCCAAGAAACCATACAATCCTATACTTGGGGAGACGTTTCGTTGTATGTGGCCTCATCCTACAACAGGGAGTAAAACTTATTACATGTCAGAACAGGTAAGAATATATTTGGATGTTATTACTGCAAAGTGTCATTGTTTTGAGAATGCAACATTAATATATATTGTTCATATCTGATCTAAGGTGTGAATTTCAACGAGGGGAAATCTACATTGTACCATCCTCCTACTAAGTTTCAATCCTAGCTCAACAATATACTTCACTTTTATCAAGAAACTTTTACTGTATACTTTTGTTTAAAATTGCAATTAATAATTTGGTCGCTATTCAGTCACTTGGTGGTGTCGCTTGGAAAAAACTAACTATATGATCATAAAAACTCCACAAAAACCTACCCAGTTGGAAGGTTGTCTAGACGTTGACGGTTTGCCTGTAGAGGGCGTACCTTCTGTCACCTACTTAGGGGTAAGCATTGATCCATCAATGACATGGAAAACTCACATTGAAAAAGTTAAGAAAATGATCAGCCCCAATGTAGGCATAATTTCTCGCATTCGCCACTATGTCCCTAAATCAATACTAATCCTTCTATATAACACACTAATTCTGCCACATTTAACCTACTGCATCGAAATTTGGGGGGAATACATATCCTACATTGCTGGAACCAATACTTCGTTTACAAAAAAAAAGTAGCTAGACTAATCACATTTTCAGACTTGTTTTGCACCTTCTGCACATAACTGTCATCAACTCGGCATACTAGATATTTATAAACTTTGCAAACTTCACACTTGTCTATTTATATTTGACTTTAAACAAAGTCGCTTTGCCAATAATCTGAGTCACTACTTTGATGATCTGTCTCATAGCTATCTGACGAAGTCAATATTCCAAAGCAGTTTTTCAATTCCATAAGTTAACCTGACCATTTCTCAGCATAATCTAAAATTTGCATCTGTTAAACATTGGAACCCACTCCCAGCCTCCCTTAAAATATCCCATAATAGAACACACTTCAAAAACACATTAGAGCATTACCTACTACAGAATTAAAGCTTTTACTTTTAACAATATGCTTTTTACACATCAGATTTGTTATTTTCTTTTATTTCCTCCTTCTATAAGTTGTATATATTATTCTTGGATGTCCTACCTACCTAACTCCTAATTAAATTATTCTAATCATTATTTAATCATTTAAGGTAGCGGGACTATTATTTGCATATATGTTTTCATCTTCTAATTGTGACTAAATGACTACAAATAGATCCGGGAAAGTATATATTTTTAGAATCGCCATATTTCAAGCTTTTCACAAGTGTATTTTGCATGCCGGTATCTGCATTCTACGACGCGTTACTCAATCAAAGGTGAAAAATTACTTTTTCTGTAAAAAAAAATAATTACGCATTTATGCTGG